CCCTAACCCTAACCCGGACCCTAACCCTAACCCTAACCCTAACCCTAAGGGTAACCCTAACCCTAACCCTAACCCTAACCCTAACCCTAACCCTAACCCTAACCCTAACCCTAACCCTAACCCTAACCCTAACCCTAACCCTAACCCTAACCCTAACCCTAACCCTAACCCTAACCCTAACCCTAACCCTAACCCTAACCCTAACCCTAACCCTAACCCTAACCCTAACCCTAACCCTAACCCTAACCCTAACCCTAACCCTAACCCTAACCCTAACCCTAACCCTAACCCTAACCCTAACCCTAACCCTAACCCTAACCCTAACCCTAATCCTAATCCTAACCCTAACCCTAATCCTAACCCTAATCCTAACCCGACGCCGCGCCGGCCGCTGGGCGCGGCCGGCGCGGCGCCGGAGACCCGCCACGGGCGGGGCTCGCCCGCCACGGGCGGGGGCGCCTTCGGCGCGAAGGGGGCATCAAAGATGCCCGGGGCCTCCGGCGGACAACCTGCGACGCCGCGCGGCGCCGTTGGCGCCGCGCGGCGCGCGTTTGCCGCCTGCGTCCTCGACGGCGCGGGCCGGCTCGCAGCGGCCGCGGCGCCGGCCGTCGGCGCCGCGTGGCGGGCGTTCGACACGGCCGGGACGTCGGCGCGCGCGCGGCGCTCTTGGAGATGGACGCCGAGCTTGCGCTCGTCGCCGCAGAGTGTGCGGAGAATGCGCTCCGCGACGACCTTCGCGCCGTGATGCTGCGGCGCGGCTTCGTCGCCGTCGCGGAGCTGGGCGGCGTGGACCTCGGCCCGCCCAAGGACGCGCGCTCCGGGCCGCCTGCGCCTTTGAGTGGGAGCATGGCGCGCTGTCGCCCGCAGCGACCTCGCGGACGACGCCTCCTCGAGCTCCGCGCGACGATCGTCCACGAACGAGCCTGGCCTAAGATATTCGCATCGCAAGCCGAACGCAATTATCTGAACGTAGTCGCCCGCCCCGGACGTATGCTCATCGTAATCGTTGTTCCTGGCTTCAGATAATCGTCTCGGCAAGCCGAACGTAGTTCTTCGAACGTAGGCTCCCGTCCGAACGTATGCTCGTCATAGGCGTTGTTCCTCAAAGAGCCCAGGCCTAAGATAGACGTGAATTCCATGGATGTTCCTCAACAGCCCAGGCCTAAGATAATCGTATGAAACCGAACGTAATTCCTTGAACGTAGGGTCCAGTCCGAACGTATGCTCCCGTCCGGACGTATGCTCACGGCAGGCCTTGTTCCTCAACAGCCCCGGCCTAAGATAGACCCGCGACCCGAAGTGGTGTTCCTAAACAGCCCAGGCCTAAGATAGACGAGAAGTCCACGGACAATTCTCAACAGCCCCGGCCTAAGATAGAGCCGCAGCTCCCCACGATGATCCTAAACAGCCCCGGCCTAAGATAGAGCCGCAGCCCCGACGATGATCCTAAACAGCCCCGGCATCAGGGGAGCTACCGCCCCTCCCGCGCCGTGACGCCCGACAGACAGAGAGAACGCACGGGCCGGCGGCCAAGGTGACCATCTTTTTTCGCGGATGTTCCTCAACAGCCCAGGCCTAAGATAATCGTATGAAACCGAACGTAGTTCCTTGAACGTATGCTCCAGTCCGAACGTATGCTCCAGTCCGAGCGTAGAGCCGGGCCCGGGAGTTTGCCCGCAACAGCCCCGGCCTAAGATAGAGGCTCCGCCCCCACCTTGTTCCTCAACAGCCCCGGCCTAAGATAGCCTCGAACTTCACGGATGATCCTAAACAGCCCCGGCCTAAGATAGACGAGAATTCCACGGACAACTCTCAACAGCCCCGGCATAAGATAGAGGCTCCGCCCCCAAGATGTTCCTCAACAGCCCCGGCCTAAGATAGCCTCGAACATCACCTTGTTCCTCAACAGCCCCGGCCTAAGGTAGACGAGGATTCCACGATGATCCTAAACAGCCCCGGCCTAAGATAGCCTCGAACTTCACGGATGATCCTAAACAGCCCCGGCCTAAGATAGACGAGAATTCCACGGACAACTCTCAACAGCCCCGGCATAAGATAGAGGCTCCGCCCCCAAGATGTTCCTCAACAGCCCCGGCCTAAGATAGCCTCGAACATCACCTTGTTCCTCAACAGCCCCGGCATAAGATAGAGGCTCCGCCCCCAAGATGTTCCTCAACAGCCCCGGCCTAGGATAGCCTCGAACATCACCTTGTTCCTCAACAGCCCCGGCCTAAGATAGAGCCGCAGCCCCCACGATAATTCTCAACCAGCCCAGGCATAAGATAGAGGCTCCGCCCCCACCTTGTTCCTCAACAGCCCCGGCCTAAGATAGCCAGCAATCTCGACGGACAAAGAAAGGGCCACCTCCAGCTCCGCGCCGTCACGGTCTCAAAAGGGGGAGGGGGTTCGGGGGAGG